TTTGGTTTTTCGAGACAGGGTTTCTTTGTAGCTTTGCGCCTTTTCTTGGAACTCACTTGGCAGCCCAGGCTGGCCTCAAACTCACAGAGATCCGCCTGGCTCTGCCTCCCAAGTGCTGGAATTAAAGGCGTGCGCCACCACCGCCCGGCCACATGGACTTTTCTACTTCAGTGGCTTCTCCCTTTCCAGTCTGCCTGCAGCTCTCCACGCTGGTTACCACTTATCCTTCCTGGAATAGTTAGAAATTGTCTCCAATTTCTCTATCTGTTTGCCCAAAGCCCAAGGGATTCCTGTTACATCCCTCAGGAAGCTCTCCATTTTTTTTCCACACACACCCTCTTCCCACCCCAATCCCAAGGTAGTTCCCTTATTCTGAGTAACCTGAAGACACAGAGCGATGGCATCCTTTTTCTGATCCATGAAGCCAAGGGGCTAGATTGGCGTAATCTGGAAGGTTCTTTCTAATCCTGCTTTTCTAGGAGTCTGACTGGGATGCGGCACCGTGGAAGATGGGAGATTTGCTAACAAAGGGACTAGTGGCTGCGAGGGCTGTTTGCAAAAGGGAAAACTCACTCAGTGTCTCTGAGAAAGGGCCACCGCTTGCCTTGCCAGTCAGTGGGCTGCAAGGAGACGCTGGATGGAAGGATTGTATGGAAATATCTGAAAATAGCTAGGCCTGGTGCTGGGGACCTAAAATCCCAGGTACTCAGGAAGCTGATGCAGAGGATTGCAAGTTTAAAGCCTGCCTGTGCTGTATCACAAGACCATCTCTCAAAATAAAAAGTAAAAAGAGGGCCAGGGCTAAGGCTCAGCTGCACAGCACTAGCCTCGTGTGTGTGGGGTGTGTGTGTGTGTGTGTGTGTGTGTGAGGCCAGAGGTTCAATCCCCGGGATCAGAACAAAGGGAACATTTGAAAGACGAGATGGCTCCTGAAGGATAAAGGGAGGGTTGAACAAAGGGCAGTAGCTTCCATCGTCTCTTGTTCTCCTCTTCTAGTTCTTTCTCCCGCATTCCCGAGGAAGCTCCCATGGACAGAGCCGCATCATCAGAAAGGCTTATCCCGAGGATTTCTACACGAGGATGATGCATGAGTGCTATCAGACATGGGCCCAGCTGGAGCATGAGGCGGGAACCCAGTTGCACAGGTGGGCAAGGGAGGAAGACCTTGAATGCAGGGGCTCCACGCCTCCAGGCGCTTTGAATATTTAACGCTGTAAGGTGTGAGCTTGAAATGTAACTGGAGTGGCACAAGCCTGGGAGGGAGGTGCCAGTCATGGGGAAGCCTTCGGCTCACTGTCTTTGTCTCTCCATCAGCCCTGCTGGCCCCTGCCAGCTCTGAGTCCCAGGCCTGCATTAGACCCTGTGTCCAAGGCCAGTGCACGTTGGGTTCTGAAAACCTGAAGAACCACTATGGGCAGATAGCCAGAGCAGGGCAGGCCTACACAGAGCCTTCTGGAGCTATCTTATAGGGCCTGGGTCAAAATGGAAGAGGCAGCTGTATATTCTTATTCGTGTCATAACTTTAAAAAATTACTTATGCATATTTTATGTGTATAAATGTTTTGCCTACATATATGTAGGTACAACTACATGTGTGCCTGGTGCCTGGTGCCCAGAGAAGTCAAAAGAGGGTATCAGACCTTGGAACTGGAGTTACAGATGTTGTGAGCTGCCTTGTGGGTGCCAGGAATTGATCCTGGACCCTCTCCAAGAGCGACAAGTACTCTCACCCTGTGCCGTCTCTCCAGCCCCCTAGTCTCTATCCTATCTCTTTATGCTGGGTCCTCACCCCCGTAACAACCCACAAATGCATTTTATTGATACATTATCTTCGGGGAACGAAATGAGGGTGTTCCATGGGCCAGACAGTTTACCAGGAAGTACCCCTGTAGCAGTGTTCTGTTCCCCTGCGGTTCTCTCCAAACTTCAGGGCTCCTCTCACTGACCCTCAGACACTCCTAAGGAGGAAGCGGGACCCTCTCCCACATGGCCTTTACTCCTCTGAACTCTTAACTGACCTCCCTTTACATAACCCTGGCTCCACCCCACAGGGTGGCAGTTATTTTAATGGCTGTGAACCAAGAGGTTACTGTTCTGTTACGAAAACACCATTAACTTAAGAACAAAGTGAAATCCATTATGCAAATACAGCCAGGGCAGCTAATTAAGGATTTATTCAGCGACAGCGGAAATAAAGCACCCAAATAGAGGAGGATGTCTTTCTGAGGAGTGGCCTGGCTCAGGGACCCTTCTCTGGCAGTCGGCTGTGACTACTACTGAGCATTTTGAGGTCAGAGATGGGCCTGAGGTCTTGAAGGGTACGAGTCTGCCTAGCAAATGTTGGCAGACACAGTTTGAGCTTGACTTCCTGCCTCAACGCCTACCAGCTATGTGGTGATGGTGTGAGGGTCTCTACCTCTCTCATAAGGAACTGTGCAGGTTAAATGAGACCCTGGGAAATGCTCGGCACAGTGCCTGGAGGTCTTTCCCCCTGTTCTGGCCAGCCGCATCCTGGGTTTGTTGGGGGCAATAGAGGAAGAACGAGGACACAAAAGGGGCGCAGCTCAGTTGGTAGCGTGCTTGTCTAGATTGCATAAGGCCCGGGGTCTGATCCCCGCGCCCCATGATGCTGGGCATGGCGGTATACTCCTGTAATCCCAGCGCTTGGGAGGCAGAGGCAGAAGGGGTGGTACAGTGGTTAGAAGAGCTTGCTGCACAGACTTGAGGACCAGAGTTTGGGGGTCCCTGCCTCCAGGTATCGACGTCTAAAGAGATAAGAAACACTTCTGGTCCCAGGCATTCCAGGAAGGGCCGGCCATTCTCCCTACATGTACAGCTTAGTTCATTCCACTTTATAAAAATGAAAAGGGGAGCCACTGAGGTTAGGGTCAGCTCTCTCTCCCTCCTCTTCCTCCTCCTCCTCTTCTGCTGTTTTTAAAACAGGGTCTCTTTGTGTTCCCCGGGCTGGCCTCAAAGCCCCGGATTCTGCTGAGGCATTGGGGACTGCAGGCATGTGCCACCATGGGCTGTGTAGCAGTCATAATTACGGTAAATCAATGAATTACTGCACTCTTGGTTTGTAACAGGGGTCAGCAAACTTCTTCTGTAAGCCACACAGCAAGTATGTTAGGCTTCCCTGGCCATATGGTCTCTCTTGCAAATATCCAAGTCTGCCATTGTAGTGTGAAAGCAGCCTAAGACGCAAATAAATGAGCCTGGATGTGTTCCAATAAAACTTTATTTCTAAAAAAAAAAAATACACTTTATTTCAAGACACTGAAATTTGAATTTCATGTTATTTCTTTGTATTTCTTTGTGTTTTTTAAAGGTTTTATTTTTAATTTTTTTTTTTTTTTTTT